GACAATTGGCTTTGCTCAGTGAGACCAGCCTTTGTAAACTGTGTGTTGCATTCTTGTCACATGAATGTAGTACCACTGGCCCAAGGAACAAAAAGAGAGGGAGTGGTACAAGGAGGACTATTTATTTTGATGATGCAGTTTTGTTTGGACATAGGATTCATGTTGGGAATAAGTTTGGACTCACCTTGGGAGGAAGCAGACAAGAAGACAGCTATGTATGCCAAGGAGGTGCGACATGTCTTTGGGTATAGTGTTAATTGTATGCATGAGTCCAAGCTGATCTTATGGTCAATGGTGTCATTGGTCCTCCAGGAGGCATGGGATGACTGCTGGGAGAGAGCAGTTGTCATGAACTCAGAGTGTTGGCAAAACAGTGTGCATTCAAGTTTGAAGACATTACAGGCTGATTATCACGCAGGCCCATTAGACAATACAGTGCTCTTGTGGTTCTAAGCTGCGTGTTCAGGAAGAAGAGTCTGCAAAGCTGAACCGCATCAAGACAAAACCAGTTGAGGCCCACCAGACTCTTTTGCCTTGCTTTTGAAACAAGGTTCATTTGGTATTGTTCTATTGTTGTTTGGAATCAGTTTTGGGTCTGTGAGGCTGCTGCTGCTGCACCTCCAAAATCAAAGAGGCCATTGGAACACCAGGTGTTTGCACCTAGCTTGCAATTTGATAGCCTATAAAGGCTTTAAGGTGATTGAACTCAGGTCAGCCTATACAGGCTTCAAATCAGGATCACATGCAGTGCAATATATCAATCAAATATGTCGAACATATCAATTGATCTATTGTTTTGTTTGGCCCACTCAGGTGGCACCTTCAAGACCCTGAAGGCTGCTTTGGACCAGCAGGCTGGACAGGAATGCCATGCTGGTGCAGGCTCTGATGGTGGTGGGACTGGATGGCAGCAATGTGGCAAAGGATCTATGGCCTCAACACCTGAGGCGCAGCAAGGAACACGCCCAAGTTCACATCGATCCTTCATGAAGGCAGCTCATGCTCAAGACCAAGGCCAAGGAGTACAAGCTCAAGGACAAGCTGCTCATGGTGGCACCCAAGGAGTAGAAGCTCCTGCTCAAGGCCAAGGAGTACAAGCT